TGGGCCCTATCATTTGAGCATACCTGATGTCCTGATGGTGAAAGGTATACTTCCAGATTCTCCTATGAAGCTTTATGATTGTACTCCTCTGGCGAGTCTTCTGCCCTCACAAAATAGATCCATGCCAAAACTCTCACTTCTTTGACCACCTTGTTCCTTCTTCCACTCTCTACAAGACCGGTTTGGACACTTCTACATCACTGAATACTGGTTGCTGCTTTTTCTAAGCTTCTAAGAGCTACCCTGGAAGCAAGTTTGTTCCATTCTCCGGCATCCTTAATGAGGTGTTAAATTCCATGTCCAAGAAAGTGTCCCTGGACACTTGAATTCTTGTTTATCCTGTCTTACATTCCACTCCTCTTGAATACTCTCAAAATTCAACCCAGAAGTACTACATTGGTGTTGTTGGCGAATGCTAATTGACTTATGAAAATACTTGAATATGGAGTTTCTGTCTTTATTAGGTGCAGCCTGTTCCCAATTGAGTTATGCTAAGATTTAACCTAGTTATTAACCTGACAGCCAGGACAGGATTTAAGGGCAGCTCCTGAGAAAGATACTTGTTGACTTGCAAGGAAGAGGCCTCTCTGCAGCATGTTCTGCTACAGTGGGACTTCTTGCCAGGGAAGAATGAACAGCCTCCATGAGCTCTTAGTGTGTACAAGGGTCTGGAGAACCAATGTCCTCAGGAACATTGAGTGTTCCAAGGTCCCAAAGTTCTCCCAATCAGGGTTCTAACTTTAACATTATAGGCCTGCTTTGACTTAGCATTCAGATGTCCTTTGAGTCCTATAACTTTATCAGACCTTCATTCTGCTACTCAGCTAAGTGTGCTTTTCTAATCCAGGAGATGATTACATTTTGGTAAGGTACCAGAGAGGCCCTTTGATTGTTGCATTTGGCATTTAACTATCTGTCAATAGCCTGCAGTTTCTCATTATCCCTCTTCAGAGCATCACTTCAGTTTGGTAGTAACTAGCCAACTCAGCTGTCTTGGTTGGCATTTTCCCCTGGACCTTTCAAATACTTGAACCATTGTACCTACAATGCTGATCACTTCTACAAGAACATATGCCTATGGCACAACTGGTGAAATCAATAGCAAACAGCTGCCACTTTGTGCCAAGAACTATACATGCCCCACCTATCACTGAGGATGGTGTCTTCTTTACCTGTTGAGTAATGAGTATGTCCATGTCCAATCCCCATTTTAATGAATGTTTTCTTGGACAATTTTCAGTGTTTCTTTTGTTCACTTAGGTCCTTCATGAGGTGGATGTCAAGATGGGCTTATATTTGTAAGAGTTTTCTTTGGGGGAAATGCCTGTGCTGTAAAGGCTGCACTCTTGTTGAAGTTTTAATTCACACACATGCCAATGTATGGAGAGCATTACCAAGACCTATTTCTAAGAGATGCTGATCTCCTCTGGTATATGGCTTTGGCTTCAGACTCCTTATAGCTGAGCTAAAGTTTTCTTAGAACTGTACTATAGTCTGAAAGTCATCCTATCTAACCCTCCTTCCTTCCCACCATCCTTTATAGGGGTGAGACTCCAATTGTGGTCCATCTGCTCAACCCACCTCCATCAGCTCCCTTCTTGTTTTCCCTCATATGTATATTGTCCCCTAAATCTCTTGAATATCTAATAATTTTTTGGACTACACTTCTTGCAGAATCAAACTAACACCTAGTCTCAATGAAAATGCCAACAGATTTGGGTCCCAGTTGTCCTAATGGTAACTCAATAACATACCCTTTATTGGCTTTTCCTTCTTCACTGCCTAATTCACCAACAATTTTGCATGTTTTCTAGAAACTCCTTTTAGATAAACTACTAGCATTCAAATGCTTTTCTCAGAGACAACTTCTGGAGGAACCCAAACTCAGACAATCCCTATCTTTAAAAAGATAGTTACATAAAGAGAACAAGTAATTCCTTTTAAGATCTTTCTTATTTTAGAGATAATCTTTGTTTTCTACTTTGTGTTTCTTTTAGTTACATTGCTATTATTGTATGTTATTTAAAGTGGCCTCTTCGCCTTCTAGAAAGTTCAACCATGAATCAGAATCCCTCTGATCTTTAAAATTTGAAAAACGCTAGAGTAGATCTTAAATGTTCTCACTACAAAAGAAAAAGATTACTATGTGATGTTATGCATATTTACTTATCATGATTAATCATTTCATAATGTATACATATACAAAAACTCACATGGCATGCTATAAATATATACAATTTTTGCTTGTCAATAATACCTCAATAAAGCTTGGAAGACTTCTTTTTTAATTCTTAAGAAAATATTGCCTATCTCTATCTCTTGAGATAACATAACTTCTTCTTTATCATGAATACAAGAATTTAAGTAAGAGGAAGTTTGGAGGTGTGGGGATGAATGGCCTTTGTTTCTCACAAACCATAGTAAGCGTCATAGTTAGTCCTTTAAATTCTGGAAAATTTTTCACTTTAATGTATTATTTCTTTTCTATTGTAAAATAGTATCTCAAAATCACCAATTAAATTGACAAGGCAGAAAATGCCTTATTCTTCTAAGACTTCAGGTATGTCTCCTTGAACACTGTTGCATATCCTAACTTGAGAATTGTAGTTTCATATTGGAAAGGTTCCTCTGCCCTGAGACCTTTTCTTTTGCATTCAAAGAAATAGTGAACTCTTGACAGCATTAACATGAATGAACATGTGAGTACAAATATATGAGAATACAAACTACCTATTGATTAAGATAGCTTCAAAATATGTATGTATGGCAGAAAATAATGAGAAAAATTGCAAAACAAAAAAGTAGCAAGTACAATAAAACCAGGAAAAAGTGAGTCCATGAAATGGATGTCTTCAAGTCTTTGTACTGGTTTGACAGCAATGGAAAGGAGAAAAGTTAAGCCGAGGGCAACACAAACCATGAAAGGATGATAGGAAATAGAGCAGACTCCCAATAACTACAGCAGAGATAAAAAGCACTTCCATGAACAAAAAGCATCACAGAAACTTCTAAAAACTTTCCAGTTAAGTAGCAAACCCCACTTGATAAAATGCCTTGACATGAAATGAAAAATAAAGGACTCTGAAAGTCCCCATTAGTCAATCATCAGTCATTAGTCTCTCTAAGGAAGTCCCATTTAAAGTACTACTCTGCTACTGTTCTTAGAAGAAACACTTGAACCCGGACAAAGCAATTAAGCCTCTGTTTCTTTATTGGCACCTGATGAAAGATGGGTCCTTGAATGTAAAGTCTTACTAAATGTGGGATCTTGAACACATCATAGTTGGTTGATCTGCCCACCTGCTCCTATCCCATTGGGGTGAGTGGTGGAAGATAGTCTGTCTTGGCAGTAGAATACCAATGCCACCACAGTGATTTAAAGTGTTATGTAGAACTGGCACCTGTACTGGGATGCTGAGCTCAAAGTGGTGCCAACTTTGCATGCCGCCCTACCCTTGTCCCTAATTACACTTTGCCTTTAGCTCCTCATTTATAATAAAGTGTTCTGAAACACTGAAGCCTAACAAATTTCAGGAGAGATTCTGGCAAGGATGCATATTGGCTCTCTGTGGTATATACAATATCCCAGGGGTGGCAGGTGAGGATGTTAGAAAGATGAAAAACCAGCTGTGTCTCTGTCAGTCCTGTCAGGAAAAGCTTGAGGCTGCTCAAGGCCAAACGCATTAATCATTTATAGGAGTACCCAAACATAGCCTTAACATCTCAGAAAGAGGCACCACAATGCACCAATGGATTAGGCTAGAAACTTAGGAGTCATGATTCTTGTTACTACATACAAACACATCCAAGCCACCAGCACACCCTGTCTTCAATACCACTGACCTCATCTCGAAACTGCTTCTGTCTCTACCAATCTTACATAGTCTTGGTATCACTGTTTCTTAGCAGGCTATTGAAACTACCTCCTGTTTGGTAACTCTGTTTCTTTCTTGCTCCCTTACAATAAATCTTCCTAAATGGAGCTGGTTATCTTTCTGAAATGTTAATTGAAATCAAGTCACTCCTTTCTTTTAGATTCTCTGACAGTTTCCTAATGCTCTTCAACACTACTCATAGGGCCCTCCATAATCTCACCTCTGTCTCTCTGCTGATCTCATTCTTGCTGTAATCTAGGAACATGTTTTTTCCCCCTCTAAATTTGTTACCATTTCAGGGTCTTTGCTATTGACTATTGCCTCTGCCCAGATCTTTCCATTTAGGATTTTTCTCAAATATTGCCCCCTCATTCCAGGATTTATTGATGCTCTCAATAAAAATAAAGTACTCCTCCACACTTCCTACCATTGCCCAAAGTAGTTTTCTATCGTTTCACTGTCCTGTGTTATCTTCATATTACTTACCACTAACTGAAATTATCTTATATTTGCATTTATTTTTTCTTGCCACATCTAGAATGTAGACTCAAAAAATCAAATTTTTGGTCTCCAGATCCTGGATCAGTGCTTTTTGCAAAGTAGGCACCCAAAACTAATTTGTTGAATGGATGTATGAATGAATAAGTCAACCAAAACTGTGATTTGTATCCTCTGATTAAGAGAAAGCCTGCCATCTTTAATTTGGTACATCTAAAGATATCTGTGGCCATATTTCTGGGAAATATGCATTGTGATTGCAGTGGCAGGCTTGGGTTTCTGGGACAACACTTCTAGGGGAAAACTTTCCAGTGATAGATGGAATCATTCACATAATGTGAAGAAAAGGGTGACATTTTTGTCAGATGCCTGTAATAAGATCGAGCCTTTCATGGAGTAAAAGGAACATGCTGACATATGATTAGGTTCAAGGCCTGCGATGCAACAAAGAATATAAATAAGGTTCCAGCTCCCTCTTATCCTTGCCCTAACTTGTCCCCGACTACATAGAAGAAGAGACACGAGCAAATTCCCCAGGAAACGGATTCTAAGATGTAGTTATTGCTATGGTATGAATGATTTTGCTTTCACAAGCACATCCAATCTATATATTGAAAAACTAATCACCAGTGTGATGATGTTACACAGTGGAGTCTTGGTCAGATGGTTGGGTCTTGAGGATGAAGTCTTCAGGAATAGGATTAGCTCTCTTAGAGAAGAGCCTCAAAGAGTGGTCTTGAGAGGATATGGCAGAAGGTACTGTATGTAAACCAGAAAGCAGGCCCTCACAAAAAACTGGATCTCCTGGTGCCTTGCTCTGGATTTTCCAGCCTTCAGAACGTGAGAAATAAATGTCTATGGTTATAAGGCAAAGGGGCCATGCCCATGTTCCCACTTGGATCCGTCATTGGCTGTGAGCTGCTCTGGAGAAGGACATAACTTTGGGAAGACAGCTCTCTTGAGGCAGGGATGATCCCCCTAGGGGGTGCTGGGTCTCTCAGCCGGGTATACTTTCAGCAGTTGAAGGAGTAAGTCAGTGATTCCTATGGAAGAATAAGAGTGGTTCATCTGCATGTCCACCACAGAACCAGAGCCCAAGAAGGACTGAACTTAACCCTGCCTCAGCAAACACAGGGGCTAATGAAGAATGCCTACTCTTTTCTCAGAATCAAGATCACAGAGACACATGGAAGTCCAGGGTCATCCTTAAGTATGCCTGTTAGCAGCTACTTTTATTATTATGATTTTAATCATTATTTTTAAAGAATGTGGATGGATTTTTATTACCCATTTTTAGTAATGTTTCTCCCCAGCTTTACTGAAATATAATTGATAAAAATTGCATATATTTAAGATACACAAGATGATGCTTTCACAACCATCTATATATACTGTGAAATGTTTACCATAAATTAACATATCCATCACCTCACAGTTGTCATTTGTTTGTGTTGGGGGTAGGGTGGGGAGAGCGCCTAAGATCTACTCTCAGAAAAGTTCCAGTCTATACTGCATTACTAACATTCCCCATGCTGCACATCAAGTCTCTAGAACATTTTCATCTTGCAACTGAAAGGCTAGGGCATGGGGAAATTGGGGGATTCCAGTCAAAGGGGACGTACCTTCAGCAGCTGCTTTTAAGAGATGCTTTGTTCTTGTTCTTGTGTCTTGGTTTTTGTTTTGATTTGTTTTCCATTAGGAGATGGAAAGCCTTCTCTCTTTTCTCTGTGTCAGACTGGGGCTAAACTCTTTCCAACCTTAAATTCCTGCCTTTAATTGGAGCCTCCTCATTTAGTGACTCCCTTCAATCCATACTAGAATAGACTCCATCAGGTTCTAGGGTACAGATGGACATATCTAAAAGGAATACGTTCTTTGAAACAGATTATAAACACACTCTAGTTAAAGGATTGACCTGAGAACATCTATGATGAATAAACTTCTAAAGTCTAGAAGCAAGGAAACAATTATGCCAAGCTGTCTTACTCCTGTACTTTCTTCTGCTGAGTTTTTTTTCCAATTCACTCTAATATCTGACAATTTCTATTGTTTTGGATCTCAAACTTTAATGTGTCTTTTAAAAAGCTAGTTAGTATGCTTATGAAAAATAGATTGCCAGACCCCAACTCCACTGTCAGAGTTCTGAGTGGAACCCAGAAATCTGCATTTTACAAAACATTCCAACTCTGGGTCTCCCACGTGGGTGTAGGGGCCCAATCACATGGGCCATCTTGCACTGTTTTCCCAGGCAACAAGCAGAGAGCTGGATCAGAAGAGAAGAAGCCGGGACCCAAACCAGTGCTCATGCCGGATGCCAGCGCTACAGGCAGAAGCTTAACCTACTATGCTACAGAGCCGGCCACAAGAAAATTTCTTATCCACACCCTAATCACAGCAGGTTACCCAGAACACAAATTCCTAATTTCTCTCCAAAGCCACCTTGAAACCCTGTTTCTACCTCTTAAGCCTGCCCCTTAATGGAGGTGTGTAGTAGTAGTCCCTGATGTCTTCTTTCTGTTGAATCACTCACTCAAAATTTGTCTCAGTTGGTAACTTGCAGTTGGTAACCTAACTTCTTTGATGGGTCAGGCCCTCTTCTTCTGAATATTTTTAAACCACCAAAGAAAACAAAACATGTTATGAGTAAGTTTATACAGATATACCACAATTACAACGTGCCCAACTTAACAAAGTTGTTTCCTGCCCAGAGTTAGGCCAAAAAGGAAACATATTCACATTTGCTATCAAATGCACATTTTAGAAATTAATCCCTCTTTAGGTCAAACAGATGTTTACATTTGCATAAACAGATTTTGGAAGATATGATTATTTACATGAAGTCTACCAGTTACTGTACTAAATGTTTCACTTATAATAACTCATTTAACCCTCATTAAACACTCACGCAGGAAGGTTTAGTCCACCCATTTTATAGATGAGGCAGTTCAGGAGAAGTTAGCTGAAATCATAACCTATCTTATTTTGTTCTGTTTCCTAAGTTTTACTATATTTTTAGCTTATTTACTCCACGTATCTCTGTCTAGACATTAAATTCCATGAGAGGTAAGCTTGTCAATCTTGCTTTCTCCTGTATTACTAGCATGTAAGTTGCTCCTTGAAATTTAGTAGATGCTCAATAGATATTTGTTAGATTTCTATTGAAGGGGTCAGCATATCACATTATTAGGTGTTCACTGTCTCCCAGGTCTGTCCCATGCAATGTACATCCATGAACTCCTTCATACTTATTCTATTCTATGAGGTAGAGGCAATTATTATCTTCATTTTACCAACAGGGAAAGTGAGGTATAAAGAGGTTAGGAAACCTGAATGTCACCTGTCTAGGAAGGGATAGAGCCACAGCGGAATCCAGGCTGCCTGACTCCAGGGTTCTCTTAAACACCACGCACTAATATTAGAAGAGATACCAGCAGTAAAAAAGCTGGCAAGCAAAATTTTATTTTATTTGAAAAATAAAGTTCATGGTGAAAAACAAAAACTGGTGTAACCAACGCATTTTCCAACAGGGCCGCAAGGAAGGGAGGTTCCCAGAGGACTAAAACGGTTAAGGAGGGGCTCACAATGAACCTGAGATTCCGACTGGCTCTTGACAGATGGTTTGACTAGTGCTGGAGCCCTCTTATCACTGAAGCCTCGGTGCCTACAGTTTACAAAGCCATGTTTCAGTGGAGATATAAAGGGCCAGTGATCATGTGACATACATCTTTTTGAAGCTTGTTTGCCTTGGCTTCAAGATGTTTTCTGATGTTTACAAGGAAGCAGAGAAAGGAGGGAGTAAAGGGTCAGGCACTGGTGATGTCAGTGTTCTGAGATGATTGTGGAGGAGGCAGCTCGGCTTCGGGGACACTGGTAGTCCAGGATTCAGGAATTTCTCCTGGAGAAAGTAAGAGATACTCAAGAACTGTTCCCCCTCGCCCCAGCACTCTGTTTTCTGCAATGCCAGCTGAGCTATTAATATCAGAGAGTGCGTAGAAAATCAGAGCTTTGTTAGCACTCAATTTCACTGGTTGGGAAATTCCCAAGTGAAGTCAAAATTTCAGTGCATGATTCAAAACCGATTGCAGCGATGATTATTGGGAAGTTAAAAAAAAAAAAGGCATCACTGTCAGTGAGAACTGGGGGTTGTTGTACACTCTGTTCTCCATTAAGGACTGAGAAGGTGTCTTCAGAACTACAATGTGTAAGAAGCTGGGGAATTTGTTAGAAAAAAAAACTTCAAGTACATGACATGGCCCCTGCTTTTGACTAGCTCACCCAGCCCGGACCACAGGCCTCCAGTGCTAGAGCTTTCAGTTCCTTCTGTCCATCAGGGCAGCAGGGTTCATGATTCAGGGAGTTAGGAATTAGAATCCTTTCTCAAGAAAATTGGTTTTTGAAAGTGCCTGGTGGGTATGACTAAGAGGTTTTGTGCACTGGTGTTTCAGTTGATGTTTATATACTTTTTTTATTATGACTTGAAGGAAAAAAACCAAAGTCTAAAATTAGCCCTTGTTTTTTCAACTTGGAACTTTGTAAACACACCGGCAGTGGTATATATGTGTGTGTGTGTGTGTGTGTGTTTTGCAATAAGCAATATTATAATTTCTTGACATTTTCATTGCTGTTTCTTGATATATTTAGTGAGGTTTTAAAGGTTTCTTTAGAGAGAAAAAAAGGAAAAAAGGAAAAAATGGCTTCCTTCCAAAACACCATATGTTTCCAATTGCAAATTCAAAAGCAGAAGACAGGCTTTAATTCAAGCTGTACAGCCTTTTGTGGGGGGTTATGGAGCTGAGGAGTTAGGTTCTCTCTTTAAATTTGCTTAATAGAATTTCAGTCTTACCAAATAACACATGATTGAGGGAAAATAAAGCACTTAGCAAGTATTTATTGAGCTTCATGTGTAAGACAATGATGGGGGACGGGACAAAGTTTAGACAAAATTCAGTTGGCGATATGAAAGGTCTTCCAAAAGTTCATATAAAATGTGTATTATGAAAAAAACTATGTGTGGATTTCAAAAGTTTATCTTTTGAGCAAGTTTATCTTTCAATTCCATTTTCTCACAAACTTTTGAAGTACCCTCACACAAGATACAAAAGAAAGCAAGTGCCCAATACAGGATAGTAAACTGATATCTTTCCACCATAAATGTTCTAGGAGATCAAAGAGTAGGAATTAATCTAGTAAAAGGAGGATTCATAGAAGAAATAAAATTTGACTGGGTCTTGAAGATGAGTGAAGGACATTCCAGTTAAGAGAACAATACCTCCAGTCACAATGATGGGGCTCAGGTGTGGAGACAGTCCATGTGGTTGGAACTGAGTTTTCATGGGCCTGGAGAGAGGATGATGAAGAGATTGCAAAAGTAAGTAGAAATCAGATTATGACAAACTGGCATAATGAACCTGGTGACTTGTCATTGCCGTTTAACTTGTGTTTAATCCAAATGACAAACCTCCTGGGTTGTAGTGATTATGGGCTCCATGTCACAGGGGTGGAAACTGAAGCTCATCGAGGCTGTTATTGTCCCAAGTCAGATGGTGAATATTTGAGAAACTCGACTTGAACTGAAATCTATTGGATTTTGAATACTCTTCACATTTATAGCTCCTGAGGTTAAGCAGTCTTGAGTGATAACCACTGTCAGCCAGTGGGCGAGGTACTCCAGCAAGACCAGTCTTTCTTGGAAGCAGGGCAAGGAAATTAGAAAGGGTAAATTAAGGACCAGAGAAAACCAATGGGGCACAGTAGAAGCACCAAGATACCTACAGTTGCCATGATGTTGATGCAATGCATCAGGAAACCTTGTCATTTTAAGCTTCAGTCCTTAGCCTCTGAGTTGGACAATTGTCCTGCTTTATGAATGTCTCTGGAAAACATTTATTAAAAAGCAGATGCAGAATGGGAAGTCAAAGCAGTTAAGGTTACTTGGAGCCATGATGAGCCAATATTTCCTATTTGAGTAATTGTCCTCCTTGGAGCACTTAATGATTTCTGAGACTCAGGTTCTTGAGGCAAATCAATTTAACAAATGCGACAAGACACCGTGAGTCATTGGAGTGATAGGGAGTTAGGGAATCAGAAGCCACTTTATGTGCTAGTAATCCACATCTAATTGCAAAAGAGATTTATTGTTTTATGTTACTGAAAAACAGAGGGCTGAAGTAGCTTCAAACATTGCTAGGTCTAGGTACTCCAAAAGTATCCCTAATTGTCTTTCTCTGTCAGCTTTGTTGCCCTTAACATTGGTAGCTTCTCAGGCCAGTACTTCAAGTCAAGGCAAACACGATTCAGAGAGGCTCCAGGCTTACAACTTCAGTTCACCTACCCAGTGGAATGGGGGTGGTATGATTTATGGCAAACCCTTTGATCCATGAACATAGCAAGACTCCTAGCATTGGGACTTAAACAATCCAGTTTGAGAAATAGGCAGATTTGTAAACCCAGGATAACGGTCAGAAAATGTCACACTCTGATTGGCTGGTTCTGGGTCACAAGCATACTTCCTGAATCAGGAGATGGGTTCAGCTGTGCTCAGACCACATGGGATGAGAGTGTGAACCGGATTATCCTCCAGGGGAAATTAGGTTGCTGTCACTAAAAGACAAGACAGTGATTACTAGGCAGCTGTCGTCATAATGTTGAAAGCACTGCTGATATGAGGAATGCAGCGAGGCAAGCAGAACAGAACAGAGTTGTCTACCACTATGACAAAACAGGCATGTCTTCTAGATTTCTGATTATCTATGATCAGCCTGTGCCTTGGAATATGCCTCTCTCACAGTGCCCCTGCTGTAGCTCCAGGCTTTCCAGGCAAGTGGGGCCCCATCAAACACCCACATCCTCACATGAGCTGCTCCTCTGTCTGGAATGTAAACCTACCCCAATATCCACCCCCTAAACTTGTGCTTTCTCATTCTCAAACATACCTCCTGGTGCCACATCAGACATTTTTTTCTGTCAATTCCCATAGCATGGCAATTTCACTTTTGCTTTTTCCTCTTCTTTTACTATTTTTGGGGGAATGACCATTCCCGCTTATGGGTTTGCTTTAGGAACAGTGCTGTGTAATAGGCCACAATTAGATGCTTTATAGTATGTTGAATAAGTTGTTTCCCAATTGCCATCTAAGAGGAGACAAAGTACCCTCTGCAGCTGATGTGTCATAGACCCTACAATAGGACACACATACACAAGTCAATTAATTCCTTAGCGAAGTCATACAACAAGGTCTGTGACCTCATTTTCTGCTAGGCTTTCTCACCATAAATGTCTTTTAGAGATATCGAAATAGAAAATCTTCTAGAACTGTTTAAAAAGGCTTGTTTAGATTCTTCCCTTACCGCAATGGCTCAGAGCTAGGTAACCCTACGGTCCCTCCCAGTGCTCCTCACAAAGGCTTCCTGAGACCATGGCAAAGGCCAGGAAAGACGGGAGAAGGCAGAATACTCCCTGTTCTAGGCCTGTCTCCCATAATCCAGTTTATTCCACCAAGGGACCACTGAGAAACCTTCTTCGGAGTAATATTCTTTGCCACTGTGGTTCACAATGCGATGAGTTTGGAACAAGGGTAGTCAGATACTTTACAATGGTGCTTCCCAAGAGGCCAGGACACACTCATGGGACCTAGCTCTTCACCAGTCAGAACTCTCAGCTTTCCTGAGTTCTAAGAACTGTGGTGATGAGCTTGCCCAGCTTCCAGAGTGCAGCAAGGCCTGTCAGACAGGGAGGAGATTTAAAAGTCACTCAGGGCAAATCAAAAGTGAAAAAAAGAAGGAAGAACCTCTGATGGGGACAGCTAAGAACAGTTTTCTTTTTCCACCATTCGGTGAGGCTCTGGGGCACACTTAGCAAATAGACTGCCTCACTCTTATGGAAACCCATTCCAGAATCAATCAAGCATTCTTTTTTTATAATTTTGTATTCATATAAAGAGAACGGGTTTCATATATTTCATGTATACAGTTTTAACAGCATAATGATACTTCCTACCCTACGTCTCCCCTCCCTCCCACCTTTCCTCTTCCTTCCTTTCTTATTTTTCTTTTAATTTTTACAGTGGCATACTTTCAATTTACTCATTTTTTTTTTTGACAGGCAGAGTGGACAGTGAGAGAGAGAGACAGAGAGAGAAAGGTCTTCCTTTGCTGTTGGTTCACCCTCCAATGGCTGCCGCAGCCGGCGCGCTGATCCAATGGCAGGAGCCAGGTGCTTCTCCTGATCTCCCATGGGGTGCAGGGCCCAAGTACCTGGGCCATCCTCCACTGCACTCCCTGGTCACAGCAGAGAGCTGGCCTGGAAGAGGGGCAACCGGGACAGAATCTGGTGCCCCGACCGGGACTAGAACCCAGTGTGCCGGCGCCGCAAGGCGGAGGATTAGCCTAGTGAGCCACTCAATTTACTCTTGATCTCAGGACCTGATCTGAGTCTCATCATCCTTCCCATCATAGCTGAATATTTCAGGAGGAACATGAAATGAAAGCCATTCTTTTCCTGGAGTGCTATCACATAGCTTTCCATTGAATTCTAGTACCATGTTTTCCTAATGCAGAGAAATCTCACTGGTTCTTATTTCTCTTCTAAATTCTGTTTGGGACTCTCTGTAATTCCACCCAGATCAGCATTTATTTGCCCTCTAAACTGTCTTGGTAGTAAGACTGTAAGGACCTTAATGTGCTCATCTGTATCCACTGTTTTTGCAGTGCCAGCCAAAGTAAATACATGCAAATAACTTACTGATTGGTTTAATATGTTTTGGAAAAGTAATTTAACTGCTGAGCATGCAGGAAGGAACTAAACATTTATTTAACAATACTTGTGTGCCAGGTAGTAAGACTGATGCTTTACACACTATTTAATACTCACTGTTAACTTTGAAGTTAGCATTGCCATCCCCATTTTTATACTTAAGGAACTGAAGTCTAAAGTATTTAAAAAACTGATTAATATCAAGCATGGGCCAGAAAAAGTAACATTTAAACAATGGGAAGATTTGTGAAGTCCCTCAGAAGAAGTTGGGATATATGAGACAGAACCATGTTTTCAGAAATGAAAATCAATATACTATATAAGTTCCATATTCTGATGATGGAAGAGATGAGAATGGCTTGAATTAGAATTGCCATAGAAAATACCAGAAATTTGGCAACTATAAGACGAGATATATTAAAAGCTTTGCTCTTGTAAGATACATATTTTTAAATTCCCATTCATTAAAGTTCTTACTTTCTAAAAGGTTTATACTGTTGATGGTTAAAACTGTGCAATTTTAAGCCGGCGCCGTGGCTCAATAGGCTAATCCTCCGCCTTGCGGCGCCGGCACACCGGGTTCTAGTCCCGGTCGGGGCGCCGGATTCTGTCCCGGTTGCCCCTCTTCCAGGCCAGCTCTCTGCTATGGCCAGGGAGTGCAGTGGAGGATGGCCCAGGTGCTTGGGCCCTGCACCCCATGGGAGACCAGGAAAAGCACCTGGATCCTGGCTCCTGCCATCGGATCAGCGCGGTGCGCCGGCTGCAGTGGCGGCCATTGGAGGGTGAACCAACGGCAAAGGAAGACCTTTCTCTCTCTGTCTCTCTCTCTCACTGTCCACTCTGCCTATCAAAAAAAAAAAAAAAACTGTGCAATTTTATATGGTCATCTTTTCTAACAAAGCTGAATAATGAATGTTCTCAGCTTAAAGCACTCAAGATCTATTGAATAGGACTCAAACATGAACAGATAATGATATTACATAAGGTAGATGAGGGATAAATATACTCAGATAATATAAAGGGATATCAGAGAAAGAAAACCTATTCCAGTGTGGGGAGCCCGGAATTTTTCTTGGAAGAATTTAATTGTGTTTGTCTTGCTCACAACTGTTTCACCAGCACCCCACATGACGCCTGATGCCTACTATGAGCTTGGCAAGCATGTGTGCACTAAAATGAATGCATGAATGACTGAGCTCTCAGTATGGGAGTTGGTGAGGAATCAGGAATGGGGGTTGATTTCAGAAGGTAGGCTCACAGAGTGCCACACAAATATTATCCAGGTAGAGGACACTGCAGAAGCAAAGGTATGCCAGAAAGAAACCAGAGAGCATGAGAGAAGATTTTAAGTAGTCATACATTGCAGGAGCAATGAGAGTGAGGCAAAGTAGAGTTAGAGAAATAAATTTCAGCCATATTCATGGATAATATTGGAAATAGTTGACAGCTGGCAAAGTACAGTCAGAATAGATGTTGGTTCAGGAAACAGCTTATGCTGGCACGTTTTATCCTTATGGGTGTTTGATTGTCAGAGAAATTGTGGGAAGCTTGGAGATGGATCTGGATGACATGGGATAGGATCTTGAGAGGAAGCGAAGAAGCTGCACGGGAGCCCGAGCTATGCATCTGGAATAACCAGGATGAAGGCCGAGGACATACACCCATAAGGAGGTGTGGTCTGCGGTTCGTGTAGATTCCTCTCAAGTTGTTTTCTTTCTTCAGTGAAACATGAAGTCAGCTCATCACCTGGTATGAGGGTGGAGGAGAAGGGACTGCAGGGTTTTTGAGGGACAAGAAGATATTGAATAGCCATTGAAGAGAAAGGGAGAGTAATCAAGTTAGGAATGTAAGTGGGCTGAATTATGATTCCACTTGAGACTAAAATGAAAGCCATCACTACAATTCTGTGTTTTTCTCTAACAATGCTAAGCTGCAAGGGTGTTGATGTGTAGTGTGCAGAATGCTGGATTTAAACAAGGTTGTATTTTTTCTAAGAGCTGAGCCTGTTGCCATATAATTATCCACAGTGTTTGTTACTTTCCTTTATAAAAGGCAACTGGATAGAGAAGTTCCCATCCTCTCTCTTCAATCAGTTCCACTTACATAGCCCTGCCATGTTGCTCATTCCTTTCACAATTAATTTCTTGGAAATGTCTCTACTGACCTGCTTCATTTTCTCATTTCCCCTTGAGGTTCCATCCTACTTCTCTAGATGTTCCTTTATGAATTCCTTTTCACTTGCCCAACTCTACATTGCCACTTGCCCTTCTCATTAGCCCCAGACTGTCTCATCTGCTCCCTATCTCACCTACACCACAAGATGGTGGTATTCATCACCACATGCTGGCAGAGGGCCTCCAGGTCATAGCTGTCCTAAGCCCCAACCAGCATATTCCTCTCTGTACTCTAACCATTCAAATGTTCCTCCCATACTACAAGAACAAATGTCCTCAATAATGTAGTATCTTTCACTCCAGTATATTCATCTTAGAATTTTCTCTACGTCACTAATTCCACCACCTACCAGAACATTCTAATTAGAAACCTGAGAATTCAATCTCCTCCCTTTCCTTGTTACATGCATCCTATTAGTTAATCATCAATACCATCAATTATACATTCCCAATATTTTTCTTCATCTTTCCAAATAACTAAACTAGTAAAGAATAAGAAAACATACACTAATTGATAAAAATATATTTTAATGCCAATTTGGATCTGGTGCTCATATCACCTCTACATATTTGGAAAGTTTCCCACAGATATTTGGTAAAATTACATGTGTCTCTATGGACAACCTGACAAATTTTGGCTTCTGCAAAAATGACTGGGGGCAGAGCTGTGAATATTGAATCTGTTTCTCATTGAATTAGCCAAAAAAAGCAGGAATGGAAACTCCACCCACTGACCAGCTCTAGTTGCACAACTCAACATTTTATGGTTGGGGTTACAAGGGAAAATTCCAAGTAAAACTAACTCTGGGTCCTTTATCTGACGGGCTCAGAGGCTTCCATGGGATCATGGGGTTGAGAACTTACCTTTCCATTTAGACCTGCTGTGCTTCATGACGTCCAGAAGCAAAGCAAGCTGAGCTGAGTTCTTGGAAAACATTGGAGAGCTGGGCCATATCAAAGGGAATTTGGAGTGGTTTATGTGGTTTGAAAATTCTTGGGGCAAAACTGCCTTCCTGTTGCTTTTGGAAACTACAGTCCAGAATTGGAAAGGAGGCAAACAACAGGAACTCCCTAACTATTTGGTTTGCTTCCCATTTGTGCTCAGCTAATTATTTTATGCAAACAAGAAAGCATGTTTTTCCACAGTTCCTTCTTTCTCTCTTTCTTTCTCTCTCTTTCTTTCTCTCTTTCTCTCTTTCTTTCTCTTTCTTTCTTTCTTTCTTTCTTTCTTTCTTTCTTTCTTTCTTTCTTTCTTTCTTTCTTTCTTTCTTTCTTTCTTTCTTTCTTTCTTTCTTTCTTTCTTTCTTTCTTTCTTTCTTTCTTTCTTTCTTTCTTTCTTTCTTTCTTTCTTTCTTTCTTTCTTTTCTTCTTTTTTCAGCCTTGCTGTAACCAAGCCTAACACAGGGGACAATGGAAGATGAAAACCAAATCAGATGACTTCAGTTTAGACACAAATAGAACCAGGTACCTTCTGCCATGCAAACCAATCACAGAACCTTCTCATATGCTTCCCTACATTCTCCACTGTGACTAGAATAAGTGGAATTCATTTGGTGTACAGTTAGCCACCATCCAAGGCCAACAGCACTGAAAATTTCCAAGTAGTGGCTGGTGGTCATGAATTTAAAGTAGGGTCAGTAACTATGACCAGTGTTCCTATCATTCAGTCCCCAGTATGCATTAGTAACAATGTGTGGGCAAATCTCTCCCATCCTTTCAACTCAGCAGGATCTCGAGTTGTAATTACTCCTTTTCCTCTAAAGCCACCTCACTATCTGCTTTTATTCCAATTCTTTGATCACTTACTGTTGTCTCTTCTCCTACACTTTTTGCCCCTGTGGCTTAACATCTCTAATTCTTTATTATCATTTTAAAAGGATTTGAGGAATGAGTCAATAACATTTATCTAGAACCCTTAATTATTTTTGTGTTTGTGATTTTGCCACTAAATTTTTAATTATTTCAGAGAGGAACAGGGTTGATCAGTTTTTCTCTTGACCACCTTGTAGAACACCTGGCATTTTCAGCAATTATTACTGAAGAAAAAGATGGAATGAATTTCTCCATGAATCCTTTTGCTAAGCTAATGCCTATAACAGAATATAAAGTGCATATAAAATTCAGACAGGTAATGATTACAGAATATATAATGATGTTAGGAATTGGGTCAGATATGCTTTGAATCTGTAGAAAAGCCAAAATGTGTTTTTCCAAATTGTATTCTCAGAGATTTGATGTTTGTCTTTGATTCATATGTATTCAGGTCTCCAAGGAAAGTTCTCTATTGCCCCAAGTGGGGAGGCATGTTTATATGGAACAAGCCTTGGCACCTTGCTTCCCTGCCTCTACTACCACTTCCAAACCTCTACCTTAGCTGGACCTTCTCTGAGTTGTTCTCCGAGAGCAAGGGCACCTGCCAGCCTGAACTCCTGGCGCAGGAAGCTGAGTAGAGATTGTGGGTGGTTCAGTAATTTATTGTTGCATGCCTTGCCTGATTTAAACCATCCCCTTGTCACCAAATGGGAACTTTCAGCTATTAGAGAAGACATGCAGCCCTTTTTGTCTCTATACCTTTCAAGTTGCCTTTTACCAGATCAAAAGATTAAAGCTTCTTCCAGAATTCCAAACCAGCTGGTTCTGAAAATTTTAAATGTGCCTGAAAAAAAGCATCTGTTCTCTCTATGTTTCTCCTATCCTTTCTTTATATTAAACACCTCTTCATTTGTGTTTGCTAAGGCTGATAAGTAGAAAATCTATCTTTTATAAGTTCAAAGAACACTATTCCATGCGTTTAGAATTTTCCTAATTTCACTGGGTTCATAAGGACTGCAATGTAAGGGCCCTCAATCCCTACTCTTGACAGGTTTCCAGGCTGACATACTCAGTAGTGGTGGCAGCTCTCTTGCTTGCTCAGGGTAGAGCATGGCATTTGCACAAGAACTTGGCTTATACATTTGTGAAACTTAAAGCCTTGACAAGCTTCCCTGCCCTGGTGTTTTGAAACTTCCTAATTCCCCAATTAAAGAGGTTTGCAGTTTTCTGCGTTTCACAGCTCAGCCTGGGGTAATCTGGATTGGGACAGTTCCAGGAGAGGAGGTCACAAAAAGTGCAGATTCATACATAATGTATGTAGGATTTTAATCAGCATCCTTTCATACTACAGCCTCTCTTCACAGCTTCCCATAAAACTTCACAAGCCACAGGCACTATGACCACTGTTTTTCAAGAGAAACAGAAGGAAATATTCAACCTCTTCTGATGTGAGTTGTTCCAGGAATTAAAATGTCTATATAGAAGCCTTACAACAAAAATTCGTACTCTGTGGCAGGAATCACAGCAAAACTAGATAAACTCAAGATTGAGAAAGTCCAACAACCACTTCTCTGGTATGAAGTGAATAAAGAGTTAGGCCCAATGGAAATGAGGATTAGAGTAACTATCTTTGAACCCTATAGATGGGACAGGGATGAAGATGTAGTTTAAGGAAAATAGGTTATGAAAAGCAATTTTAAAGTTGACTTGTTCTATCTTTATTTCTTAAGATGAAAGTGCATCAAGTACAGAGTCATAAAGAGTATATAAAATATGTTATATAAATATATTATCATATATTATATATAATATATTGTTATATAAAATATATAAAATACTGTCTTCAAAAACCTCTACTTAGTGGTATAGTGCTTATCCAACAACCATCCCCATCCATTACTTCTCATTCAGGAGAAAGTATGGACTTGCATATCCCTCAGCACCAGGTAGAGTCCCACTGGGACTGGCAGGAAGAACTATACTCTAACCTAGAACTTAAGGATTTGGAGATCAGCAGAGTACTGTGACCTTTAGGTGGTGGACAAATGCATTTGGTGCAGATATGATTCTCCTGCTACTGGATAACCTCTAGGGAAAAAGACACCCCATTCTTGCTCAGCTCTGAATGTTAGGAAATATTTCCTTTGTAAGAAGCTGAGTATTGGTGGTGAATCTTTCAGTGACAAATCACAGCACCTCAACTCAAATTCTCTTGATTTTTAAGACTGGATTAATTTAAAATTCACCCAGAGACTTTAGGCACAGCTGAATCCAGCGAGTTAAAGGTTCTGGGAAGGCTGCTGCAGCTGCTGCATATCTCACAGACATCTGTGTGCTAATCACAATAGCTATGAGCGTGAAGGATCCTGGTCCAACAGATTAGGTCAAACACCCATTTCCAGGGATCCAGTGGGTGGGGGAAAATAATTAGTTCCCTTGAACCACAGGGGCTGGGCAGAATTACTATGAAGTAGCAAAAGGAAATTTCTGGAAAGAAAAGGCATAAGAAGACAAGGACTAGTCAAAACTATTTTACTCACCTACATACACCCTCCCCACAAATGTCATTTACTCTATATACAACGGGAAGGAAAGACAGAATTCTTCAACCTTGGGAGACATTAAAGAACTGCGAGTATAGGATCCTATTTTTATAAGAATTTTAAATCTCATAATTCTAGTCAGTGGTGATCTTCATTCTACAAACCAATGTGTGTGCTCTTCTACTGAGCCTCCTGTGTTTGCAAATGTTAGCCTTCCCTTTTCTGAACATGATACTTCTTGTTTTACCTTGTGAAGATCTTTCTGATCTATATATTGTTTCTTTACATTTTAGCTTCCCTTCCAGTTTTGGATCACTGACACAAGTTTGTAGTTTTAATAATTGTGGGAATTAATGAGAATTCAAAAATTTTTAAGTATACACTCTCTGAGCTGAGAAAGATCTCAGGAGGGGTCGCCCAGTGAGATTGCTATTAATTCTTGGCAAAAATCTAAAATAAATTATTAAATAGATGTCTTGATAGCATGAGCAAAGATAGTGACAATTGCTTGAAAACAGTGTAAGTCTACCAAGGAAAAATCTCCAAATGAATCTAATTTCTTCCCTTCCTGGTACTGCTAGACTGAGAGAGGAACGTACTGGTGTAGACATATGCTATGCGATTCCAGCAAGGAATTTAACAGTCAGGCCTTGCAGATGAGATGGGAAGAATGGACTGAATTATAGCAGAGTAAGTATACAATCCAAGGGTACATGATGTAGTTGTAAGAGTGTGAACCAGGGCTTCTTGTCAAAATGGAGTTGTGAGTTCCCTTCCTTATTCAAATCCAGCAAAGATAAATATGGAACAAGTTAAAAAGACATAGCCTTACTCACAAACAAGATAATTTCTCTGTCTACCAAAGGAAGAGCAGAAACATACAAATGCCAAAATGAAATCCAAAGGCCATAATTCCAAATATAGGCAGAGACAGCTGGAAGTGTGAGACCTGCAGGGTGAAAGAGCCCCTAGACAGTACACACATGGATATGGCTGGGGATGAAGGGGCGGGAATATTCAAGCAGTGTTTGAAAGGGCTCAATTTCTTAAAAGAAAAAAGAGAGAGGCCTGGATATTAACAACCTACTGCAGAGGAGTAGAAGCCCTCTGCTTTCAATAAGGTTTTCATTCATCATGTGCACATCATGCTTTTTTTGGTATGCTTTGTGTAATTTGCTTCACATCTATAATCTTTTCAGTGATTATCTTGACCGAGGTTAACAGTTAAATAAATGCATAACAAACTGGTCCAGAATTCAGAGTGGAAGTCCGCAGCTGGGCCCTGTACCGTGCCACACCTGTTCCTGGCACAGACCTATAGATGAGGTTCTTATGTGTGCATGTCCACCACTACCTCTCATGTCACCTACACAGTGCTGACCAGTGCAGAGACTTCTCTCGCACTGGTCTATTTAAATGCCTGTTGCCTTTTGTATTGCAACTTTTCTGGGTAATTCCTGACTACCAGAGCATGCTACACTTTCAAAGTTGATTGCTATTCAATTAGGTGGCGTCCAACTTTTGTCATATGTGAGAAAAAAAATGAATTCATCTTAGGATAGTCACTCTTTCTCCATCTGATGAAGTGACTCTGAAGGACCAGAATCTCATCTATCCTCCCATCTGAAATTCAGAAGAAGCCTGCCTGCATTCTGGAGTGCACGGAATTGTGTGGTAAGCGTGGAATTCTGTAACAACGTGACATGCATAGGAAACTCTAAACATGCACACATCGTCCACAGACAAATCCAGTAAATTATTTAAATGAATACCAACCAGTGCTGTGGCCATTTAATAAAAAACCTGGTTTGAAGGCTTACGTATATGTTTTTCATTAGTGTGCAATTTGCAATTTGCTGCAGTGGAAGGTAGCTGTCTGCTGAATGCCAGGGTGTGGGAAAGAGTAAATTGTTCTGCTGCTTTGCAGGAGGAGCCCGTCAGGGAAAGCTGACACCCTGCAAAAAAACATCCAGTGCTTGCTTTCCTGAGCTGGAAAAGATGACCTCTTGGCCTCTGGTTGTGAACTTCAGTTTCTGAGTGGGGGAAGGGTGGGGAAGAGATTCATGACCACCTGGAAAAGCAAGTGACTCACATATGTGTATGTAAAATCTTTTATTCCTCTTTTCCCTCATAATTCAACCCCTCTCCCTCTCCCTTGTTCAGTCAATCGTCTAAAATGTACTAAGATTCTATGGTAACCCAATGGAGTAAATATTCTGTGAGATGCTTCCCTTCTCCATGTCTCCAACATTTTTTCTTATGACTGTCTACAATTTACTAGTCCTTGTCTGAACATGTGATCTCAACTAGCCAATGAGTCTTTTCTCTGTAGTTCAGGACGTGGGAAGGTAGGAAAGTCTGCCAATCTTCCCCAGACGTAGAAAGCACTGTGAGAGATAAAATGTGGAAATATCACCCGTACTGCACAGTATGTTTTCAGCAATGTGGACACACCAACTTTTCAGTTATACAGAAATGGAGTGCCTGTGAAGAGAGAAGCCCAGGCACGAGTTTGGGAGGGAGGGAAGGAAGGTGGGTGGGTGGGGGGGCAGGGAGAGAATATGAATGAGAGTTTGACATCTTATGTGTCTCAGTTCTAGTTGTTTTCTCATATTGTAGCATTCCTGTCTTTCCAATAATTTGATTGTTAAACAATTCCTTTGACTTAATTAAAAAGTCCCCTAAAAACTTAGTTAAATTTTCAGTGCTGTTACTTCAGCCAAAGGGCCAATCAATACAGCACTAAAACACCTTCTAGTAGGTAAATGTCTCTCATCCATGAGTAGATTATTCTAAGATACTACATTCAAATCCATCAGGATGGGCTGATTTGCCAGTGCTGTATCTGGATGCTAGTTACCTTCTTAACTGGAAAAAGGCCTCATCTAACCACTGCTTCAGTAGGACAACTTTATATCAAGCTACATCTGCACATTTCAATGCCTTTACATTTCCTTTCTCTTAAATGGTCACACATCTTGGCCTTCCTCACTCAAAGCTGAGGAACTATGCAGCTGAATTAGCTATAAATTTGACCCACAAATATTAGTCTGACACAAAAAGACAAATACTGCATATTCTCCCTTATATGTGGGAGCTAAGATTTAAAGAAAAAAGGAAGAAATGCCTCTGTGTATTGCTACAAAAATAGTTTTATGAAACTTGGTTTTATACCTTTGTGAAAGCAATGGTTTAGAATATATTATCATAGTTTTAATGATCTGTGATCACTTTAAAATTCATTGTACATGGGTGAAATGGTCATTTGTCCATTCAATCATCATCTATAGCTGTTGTTTACATTTCCAGTAAACAAGGGTCTTTTTGCTTTTTACTCATTAAGCTTCTTATTTGGTGAAGTATTAAAGTCTTTTTACTGTAATGTGAATTTAAAATCTTATATCAAAAAGGAAAGAAAGAAAGAAAGAAAGAGAGAGAGAGAGGGAAAGAGAGAGGGAGGGAGGGAGGGAGAGAGAAAGAAAGAGGAAGGGGGAGGGAGGGAGGAAGAGAATATCATTATGTTCTTAGAATTATATCCATAAACCATATTGGATCTGTTAAAAACTAATTATAATTCAAAATAATAAAAAAGATTTTTAAAGTGTTGGTCTGAGAGAATAAAAAGGCTGAGTAGTGGCCTCTAAAACAGTGATGGAGAGCCAGGAGGCATAGGGCAGGGCCTCCCCCTACCAGAAAACTGTCAGGGAATCTTCAGACAAGGGTAGGGTGAGGAGTATGCGCTTAAGAAAGTATCCATTTATACTTATTCAGCCCTTCCCAAGGTTTAAGTTACTCCATTCTCAGAACAAAGACCAGTTTCTGGGGGCTGGCATTGTGGCATAGCAACTTACACCACTGCCTGCCACACTGGCAACCCATATGAACGCCAGTTCAAGCCCCAGCTGCTCTGTTTCCTATCCAGTTACCTGGTAATGCCCCTGAAAAGCAGCAGAAGGTAGCCCAAGTACTTGGACCTCCCTCACCGATATGAGAGATCTGCACAGTGTTGCTGGCTCCTGGCTGAAGCCTGGCCCACCGCAGCTGTTGCAGCCATTTGAGGAGTGAAACAGCAGATGAATGATTCTCTCTCTCTCTCTCTCTCCCCCTCCCTCCCTTTTTGTCTCTCTGTCACTCTGCCTTACAAATAAGTAAATGTTTTTTAAAAGATCTATTTCTGTGTATAGTTTATAATTTAATGAGTCTATTCATTTCTAAAGACAAAAATTACAACTAG